CAACTAGAGGATGGAAGACACTATCAGGGATGAAATCCTCGGAGGCCATATAGGTAGATACCATCTGAGCTGTGTCCGGTTCAATAGACACATTGTCTTTGCTACGTTTCAATCGACAGGGTACAAAAAACGAGCGATATTTGCTTTCCTGATTCTTGGAGAAAACAAACAAATGAATTTAATTAAAAAGTAGAAAAATCACAGAAAAATATACATATTATCTTACCAGCTTTTTCAAAAAATCAAATGTTCTGCAATGTAAATGGCATGTAAGGTAGAGTAAGATTAACATTCTTAAAATAATTTAAACTAATTTTTTCCAAAAATAATTTGCTCAATTTCATTTTACAATGAAAAGATGGAATTACTGTAGTCACCATTTATGTATGCATTTCTTTGCTTTTTAAAAATTCTATATTTTTTTTAAAATAAATTCTTATTAGGATTGATTGTACTATGAATTAAGTTAGCTAAGGGGCAGGTCAACTCATCACTAACTAACTGGATGGCTAATAAATATATGAACTCTCCAAGTATTACAAAAAAACAGAAAAGAAAAAAAAAGCAATAGGCCCTACCTTGATCTGCTCGCAGAGCAGTCCAAACTGCTTCATCAACTCCAAGAAGACTTCACAACTAAATTCATCTTTGCTAATCTCATGTCTCCAAAGATGTCTGACTACCTCTTCCTCCAATATACCTTCATTATCAAGTTTATTCCACAGCTTGATCATTGAAGCCCATTGAAAATAATGATAATTTTAATAATGTTATCACTCTGTGATGTCTGGCAGGGAATGACGTCTGGCAAGGAATTTCTACTTAACTCACCTTATCACTGTCATCAGGTTCCACCACTGTGATGATTTTCCTGAAGATGTCAATCAGTTTCCGTGGGTTTGTTATCACTGTGTCCTTCAGTAGTTTGTTGTTCTCAAAGTACAAAATGATTCCAAGATCATGTAGGTAGTTGAGGGTGTGGATCAGATTCTTCACGGAAATTCCACAGCTAGTGGCGACTTCACAGACCTTAACATATAATTCAAAATTATAATATTATTAAAAATAAAATGTGGAAGTGTAAATAGAACACTATTGCCAACCATTAAAAAAAGTAAGCATGGGGAATTTAGGATGCATTTTTCTTGGATAGATACTAAATGGAGTGTCTTTTTGAAAGGAGACATGCAAGGAGTTGGGGTTAAGTATTAAACAATTCTTTCTAATGTTTATTAACATTTTAGGCAATGATTACATACCTTTGAGTAACTCATTCGCACTGCTGTCCTACCATTCTCCTGCAAAATACGCTGGAATTCAAGCCATTT